ATTTTAAACAGTAAAATCGTGATTTTACTATTCACATTGTAATATTTACAATTTAAATGTTACAATTTACTCTTTACATAGAAGAAAATACTATTTCAAAGAGTAATATTCGCTATGTAAATGTCTAAAATGTTTAAGTATAATAATTAAGAATTCAGACTTTAATATTTATCATTTTGTACCTAAAAAATGATGTTATGATATGTAAAAAGTATAAAATAGAGTTAGTAAATTTCTAATACAAGCAACGTGAATATTTACAAAGTAAAATGGTAAATTTTAAACGCAACGCTAAAAAACAAACTGTAATTATTGACTTGCTTAGACTGGTAAAATGTATATTTTAAAAGTATCATTTTTACTGTTTGAAATGTTAAATTCTCCCAGAGAGAAACCCCCTTCTCTTTCATCTGAGTTCCCCTTCTCTTCATAATATGAACTTTATTAGGGTGTGCCAAAACGAAACTCCTGATAAAAAATTCTATAAAAATCAAATAAATTCTTTACGCCCAAAATTTTTCAGGAAATGCCCAAACACAACTCCTGTTAAAAGCGGAACTCAAAATTCCAATTTTAAGAGGTCCATCAAGGAAGTTACATTTTGGCACACCCTAGACTATATATTGAAATGGCAATTTTTACTGTTTGAAACTGTAATTTTTAAAGATGATAGAGTCGTTATTTACTATAGTGACAACTACTAATCACTTATTTTGGATATTAAATTATAAATTGTGGCTTTTATACTTACTACATTAAGTTCTGTAATATTTACATTTTTGCCACCCTGATGTCCGCTTTACTATTTGAAACTATAAAAACTAACCGGAATCCGAGTGAATATTACAGTTTACTTTTTTCCGTGTATCGAACTTTTGAGCTCGAAGGGCTCAAAAGCTATCTCTTTGAGCTCGGAGAGCTCAAAGTAACACATAAATTGTATTTTTGAGCTCGAAGAGCTCAAAAACATCATAAGTGCAATTTTAAGGTCCTGGGTATGAAATTAACGGGTAGTTGCAGGGATGGCCTTCAGGGTTAACCGTTTTCCTAATTTTTTATTATATTAGCTACTAAGAACATCATTTCATTATTTTTTTAAGCGTGATTTTGTGTGTATTTATCTAAAAATACGTCAAAACATATGCTTGTTACCGTGTTGTGACCTTTTATCATGGATTTTGTATGTGTTTATTCGATATTAGACCAATACATAAGCTTGTTACCGTGTTGTACCCTTTTTTTTACGAATTTTGTTTGCGGTGGGTATTTTAAATAGTATTATGATATATGATGATTATAAGCTTCTCATTAGGTATACTGGGGAATATTTTGTCGAGGGATATTTTGTTGGGGGATGAAAACGCGTATTACCACAGAGTTATATATCAGTATAGACATAAATAGAATAAAATTTACCAAGATAACTAGTTTCTTCAGGTCGAATTTGTCCTTTATTAAGAGTTCTATAAGGTCCATCAGTTTTGTACTTAATATCATAGTACTGGATAAGATGACTTTTCTCCAAAGGATGCTGCCAAGTGATTAAAAAACCATTGCTTATTTCCGTAACCGTTAAATTTCTTGGAGGCCCAGGTCTTGGTCCAGCTAGAATCGTCAAAATTTATCGTATCAACATCAAGATCACTTATAAATACCAAAAATAATCAACAGTTAAGAAAAATACAATAAAAATATAAATTCTGTAAATTTTAAGGAAGCAGCTATTAAATATTAAACAAGCTTTACAGCAATTTTCATTTAAAGTAACAGAATAACCAAACATTAATGTCCATCGGCGACAGCTGGAACTATTTCCTCGGTTTATGACCTATCAGTCTAAAATAGTGGACCAGGTTAACGATAGCACATCTATGTCTCAACTATTTGAGTGAGCAATATCCTCAACAATTTTTATATTATTACTTCAATTATTATTCTGACCAAGGAAAACTTACCGTTTTGATCGGATGTGATGCCTCCAGTATTTATAGGGGTAGTTGCTGGAGGTGAGATGCCAACGTCTGATGAACAAGATTGAACTTTATATTATTTTCCATCCAACGTTTTGTTATTTTGCGAATGATATCCAGAGGTTAGTGAATGTAATTTTTTTTAATTTTTTTTTTTTTTCAAAATTTTCAAGAATTTAAAAACCAACAACTCTTGATCTTGAGAATGAGATTAAAAAAAATATGGAATGATCTGATTCAAGCCGATATGTGAAATTTTACGAAAAAATATTTAAATAAATTCAGATGGCAAATGGCTGCAGGTCAAGAGATATTGGTATTTAAAAATTCTTAAAGTCCAAAAAAAACCTCGTGTTAATTTTGAAATTTGTTTTATAAATTTTAGCCCCTGACGGCTCGAAATTACGGTAAATTACGGTAAAAATACCGATACCGTAATGTTATATTTGATGCGTAATTTGATTGTCTGATTGATTGATTGATCTGAAGAAATGGATGATTGATCATTGATGAAAAAGTTTACAAAATCACCGCAGTGTAAGTGACGGTGATTCTGCAATACTTGTACGATAGTTATCGATTGAAATTTTTAGATGGAATTTCTACTGTATTTTATGGTAGTTCTACTGTAAAATTACCGTAATTACGTGTCCGTCGGGGTGAAGAATTAATTTTACCGAGCGTTTTTATTGTTGTTATTTTACTGGTCATATTGTCGCTGATAGCATTTTTACCAACGACCTGAAATTCATATAAGGTTCCTGGTGATAAACTATTGATCGTCACTGATGTACTACCGGATGGAGTAACTGGTATAGGAGTTCTCCAAGTTGATGTGCCGGCTTCACGATACCTGTTATTTATTTATAATTTATTAGTCATTACTATATTATAAAAATAACATTTCACTGAGAAAAAAAAATTTTTTTAATATAATATTTTATTGTCTTAAATGCCGAGAAAAAAATTTTCTTCATCGTTAAGATAATCTTTTGATTCTGAATTTTTAACATTTAATGAATAAAAATGTAAGTAAGAATATATTTACAGCAAGTAAAATATTTATTATTCTTCTTATACTATTTTCTCGCAATTACTATAGCAAAAAATAGTTTATTTGAATCCAAATCTCTATTCCAATTTTAAAATTAAATGTTAATTTAGAAAGAGATTAAAACTTTAATCAGATAAATAACCTGAGGATTTATCTTCAAATTTAAAATATTATTTAGGCATAATATTGTTAAAAGTAGTTGACAATAAAATTTATAAATCTTTTTCTCAAATCGATGTGTTAAATGATCGAAAATTTATCAAGTGGAAGAAGTATAGAATTTAACTATTTAATGGTGCTTAACTATTCTATGAATTCGGCTCTGTTTATGAAAACTTTGAACTACTTCTCGCCACTTATCTACTGAATTGGAACTATTTACTGTTGATAAAATTTGTTTCACTACCATTAACAGAAAATATGAAAAAAAGCGCCATTCGGCCACGCCCGACATGGATAGGTAGATTTCTTGTTTGAATATCGAAAAAAACACGTTATTAAAAGGCAATAATGTCCTAAAATTTATTTTTTATTATATTTTTGCAAATAACGATATGAGATTGACTACAACAAAGAGATATCCAAAGACATCTACCTAAAAAACAGGATTTGTAACAGATGAAAATCATTTGATGATAAAAGCTAAAAATTAATATATTCGTGATTTTTTCTTAATTTTCCCAACTACTAAATAAATTGAAAAAAGTATCAAAAGTCGATGAATAATAGCTTAAATTGAAGATAATCATGTGAACTTTAAAATAAATTTAATAGATTTAAGCTAACTTTTACGGTTTAAAAATTATTTAAAGAAAAAGAGCCGAAATACGTTCATTAAAAAATTTTTTCAAATTTTCAAAATCACGGAATTAATTAAAGAAATCATAAAAACTGACGAATAATAGCTTAAATTGAAGGTGATTAAATGAGGTTAGAGATAAATTTGATAGATTTCATTTATCTTTTACATCTGGAAAATTATTTTCATACAATATACGAAATTCAAAATTTAAAAAAAATAAAAAAAATTTTCGACCACCAACAACTCGTAAACTAACCGGCCGATTTTGCTTATCTTCGAATTTGATCTTAGTATTGATTCAAAGAATAAGCCCACAAAATTTCATAAAGATCGGTTGAGAACTGTGGGCGCAATCCTGCTGACATGGCGCGTTATATCACATATATATATATATATATATAGTTCACATATATATATATATAAAGATTTTCATTAAGTTTTAAACTTGCTACTAACTTTTTTTCATGTTTTTAATAAAGTTATAAACAGTACTTGGAGTTTTTTGATTTCATATTTTTTTGTAAAAAACGATTATTTTATTTCGAAGTCTTATGAACGTGGACTTGGCGCGGTTTTTTTTACAGTGAAACTGTTTTTGTTCGGATTTACTATTACCATAAATTTGATTTAAAAAAATTCTTTTCTTCTATAATAAATGTTTGTAACAATAAATTGACTTTTACTTTTAGTAAAATTTTTTTATAATTATTTTTCTTGTATCTAATAAAATAATATTCTGATTAAAGTAAAAAATTACCGTGATTTAGAGGTTGTTTTCATTAAATTGAAGAAACTAATATTTGTTACAAATAACTCGAGCCAACAAATAAAATTCCTAATTGAAGTAATAAATCTTCAAAATAAGTAATTTAGTTCAATAAAAGTAACTTATTTCAAATATTGATTAATAATTGCCTAAAGAAAATTTTTTTTTCTCAGTAAAATAAAATTCATAAAAATATTTATAAGTGTAATCAATATAATTTGAAGTTATACTTTTCTTAAATGATGTATTGTATGCTATGATTAGTTTAATTTGTTGTGTTTATTATAAAGAGTAGATACGTCAATTATAAAAATAACAATTATAAAAAAACATACCAAATTGTATAATCTTGCTTATAATCGGGACCTCCAGAGTAACCTGGAAGCCAATGAAGCGTCACTGAAAATTGCGAGGCGGTACCAGTGACATTGTAAGGCGCATGTGGCTGAGATCCTTCCACGATTAATTGAGTCGATGAAAGAATAACTGCTACTTCATTAGAAGCAACACATTGATAATAACCAAAATCATTTCGACGTAAGCCTTCTATCGTCAGATTACCACCCACCATTTTTGCTCTATTGCGTTCCAAAGGCGCGCCATTCGCCTATTTTTTATAAAAAATTAAATAGCTAGTAATGAAATCAAAGTTGCAAAGCGAAAAATTCATAGTTTTAATTAATAAATTGATTGCCGGGATGTTATTTTATTATAAATTTGTTTTTCTTCCATCAATTGATTTTTTTAATTAAAAGGATATTAATTCAATCAATTAAAAAAATAAAGTTAATTATTGAAAAATTCTGGAACGCTATTTATTGATAGATAAATAAATAAATTTTATTGATGGAGTTGGAAATTGGAAAAATTGAAATAAGGTATTAAAGTACCCAGTATTTGAACACTTATAAAAATGGGAACAGTACTTGAACAGACTTTTCGAATTGTTGTAATACAAAATCCGTAAATTTATTATGAGTAAATGCGCATATTATAATTATTAAATGATACAGTAATTTAATTCTGTCAGTTTTTTCAATTATAAATCAAAACAATTATATTTTTATTAACTTAAAAGGACATGTCGAGAATAGACGAGAGATGCTATTTTTTCATGAAAAAAGTACTAAACCGTAAACCGAACAATCAGTAAAAAAAAAACGGTGTATCATCATTTTAAATAAAAAAAATTGTACCACCTAATGAAATAGTCTTTTCTAAATAGTACATATTTTTTGCAAAGACAAATTATTATTTTTATATTAAATTTGAGCGTCTAACTATACTTTCAAATTTTCAAAGAGGTACCCAGAAGTTGAACAAGCTGGGGCCGTATAATTTTAACAGCACTCTTACCTCTAATAGGTTTATAGACTAGTGATCAGTATTGTGATTTGTATTAAATACTGTAAATTAAATAAGTTTTATAGATAGATAAATAGATAGATAGATAATAAATTTTATTTGATCCTGGAGTTCTAAGCTCCTTCAGGACCATCAACAATACATAAAGTTAATTATTTACAAGTATGCATTTGATACAGCGTTTGCAATACAATTTGAAGACCGATATTAATTAATAACTATCATGTTAAATTATAAGATCAATGTTAATTATATTGATTGCAAGAAGAAATTAAATTAAGCTTGCTTAAAATTTTCAAAGGTGTCAATTTCTGTAATATCTGCCGGTAATGAATTCCAAATTTTTATGCCATGAATTAAGAAAGAATTTTCATAGATAGCAGAATTACTTCTTGGCAAACGCAGATAGTCATTCCTGACGTCACCTCTCCTAAATGCAATTGGCAAAAATTCTAATTTTGATCTAAACAATTGATTATAATTTGATTTAATTTCTTCATAAAATAGACAAGCTATGAAATAATTTCTTCTCGCGTTAAGTTATAACCAGCCCAATTCTTTATAATATGGAGTAGTGTGCTCAAATCTCGAAATTTTGAAAATATACCTAATGCAAGAATTTATTTTATGCTGCAATCTATTCTGTAATTTGCCTGAAATATTCGTGTAAGCAGCACAGCAGTAATCGAAGATGGGAAAAATCAAAGTCGTGACCAATTTTATGCGTAATTGTTCATTGAAAATTTCGTTATTGATTTTCAATTGCGCCAACGTTTTCATAGCACGATTGCATACACTTACGACTTGATTTTCCCATGTTAGTGTTATCAATGATGACGCTAATTTTTATAGTGTTATCAATTTTTATAGCTAAAAATTAGTATAGTTAAAAATTATTGAACGTTTTGAATTGAGTTTTTTTGATTTATAATTGAAAATTTGCTTTGTCATTCATAAAAAATGTAATTAAAAAATTAAATACAAATATTTCTCATTTTTAAATGAACATATTAGATATTCACAGTATTATTTTTAATATTAATCAATAATATGTAATAATTCTTTTGATATTTCAATAAAACGCTGAAAATTTTTGGTGTGTCTATTGCCGCATATATTTTATTAGTTCAACTACTGCTCCCGGAGTGTTCAACTACTGCGGCTTGTCAGAATTGATTGTTCAACTACTACTCCTTTCATAGTCTATCTTAAAAACGTTGTCAAA